GCTTTTCACGGTCCTCGGCGACTTGGTGCTGAAGTTTCCGAGACGTAGTCTGATCCCGCGTTTTCCAGAGCGGCTGCTGGGATGCCACCGGTGGAGCGCAAGTTCCCCCTCGACGCGACGGAGGACGAGAAAATCACCTCTCTCCACCCCCCACCGCCACACACACACACCCCGAATCTCTCCCCGCGCTCCAGAACGCACCTCGTCATTCGCACGATCGCGGGCTGGCGCGGAAACCAGAGCCAGGAAGTGAGAAACGCGTAGACGGCCCAGCGGGTTCCCATAAGGAGGCGGATTGCGTAGAACCACGGGGGACTGAGTTCTAAGTAAATAAGATGCATCTATCCAGTGCCTTGGAAAGTGTTCTCCGCCACTCTGTAGGCCGCCTTCCGTGATACCCTATCCTGTAGGTAGCGTGCACGTCAGTTACCGGGCATAGCAATTACTCTGTAACACTTACCATCGTATTGAGACAATCCAGCTCTCAGTGCTGCACCTTGAGCTAGTCCAGGCTAGCTCACGGCTGTCAGGCCAGGCCCGGTCACCCCGCCGTTTTCAACGTCTCCCGGCTCTCGGCGATCTCTCCCCGGCCTGGTGCGGTCGGCGAGTCCCCAGAGTGGCCGGGCCTTTCTGCAGGCGGGCGGGCGGGGGCGGGGACAGGCCTGCGCGGGCTGGAGCTGCCCTCCAGAGCTCGCTCTTTGACTCGTGCAGCAGGCGCACACGTTGAGAGGAGACCAGCGCCTGCAGTCTAACTGTCAGCCTTTAGAGAGTCAGCAGTTTGCTGAAATCCCTCTCTTAAGCGGGGTACGGCAGCGGCACTTGTGCGAGACCGCCCAGCCATGAGATCGCACCGGAGTCCCTGTCCTCTGTTTAATGCAAATGAAACTTCCTAAATCAAAAGTTCCCACGGCCTATAGCAGCAGAGTAGTCCCTCTCTAGGACAGACAGACCTCCTCTGCTGCTCAGCTGCTCCCGATGTGCTCCTCAGTTTGAGTTACACACCTATTAACAGCTGGAAAGGGACTACATTTCATCATTAGACTGATCAATGAGTTCATTAATAAGGGGCTCGGAAAGGCACGTCAGAGATTCCAGCCTTCAGGCTGGGTTAAAATAATAATAAACCAATAATTCTTTGAAAAACATCAATGGGCGACCCAACAAGGTCATCCCTATCTTCATCAAAGCCGAGAACCTTCGGCAAAGAGTTGAATCAGCTGTGACAATGTTTCTTCCTCTGAACACAAGACCCACGTCCCTGTTTCCCCCAGCGCTGTGTCCGATGCTGGGGTCTCCAGTGGGTCCAGGGCGGGGCTCGGCCTGTTCGCCGGGTCTTTACGAACAGAAACAAGCCGACCCGCAGCCGGCTCACAGCCGAAACAGAGGGAGGATCTACGGGTTGGGCACAGCACAGCTAATGAACCTACCAATACGTGACCGATTTTGACACCAATGAGTGTGGAACAATAGATATCAATCGAAAGAAGTGAAATTTAATCCAATCTGCCGTTTGCCTGTCTGCGTGAGCAGACGACAACTTGTCCTGGTGTGCTTTTCTTGTTGGACCTATTTGATATTGAACGTATTTTCTTACCTCGCGGTCCTGGGATGTCATGGTACTTGCTTAAGCACCCCTCCACCCAACCCCCTCCCCTCCCCTCCTCCTGGTAACACAAAGCTGAACGTCTTGAAGCGAAGCTACAGCACCCAGCGCACCCGCCCATCCTGTTTCGAAACCGCAGGACCGAGCAGAAGCCCAGTGCTGGAAAAGCGCCGCCCGAGCCCTGCCTCGCTCACACAGGCGGCCGGGGAGCCCCGTTGTACGAAGCGGCCAACGAGATGGTTATATATAGAGACACACATCAATACGCGGTGTCCCTGCCTCAGTGCTTTGAACCTCGGCTCTCTAACCCTGCACAGAAGTACCCCGAATTTTCCGGCCTGATTCCGTGCCACAAACCTCTGCCTCCGAAGCTTTGTGAAAACACTGCAAAACAGATGAGCTGCCGTCGATTCCTTCCAGCCTCGTGTGGCCCAGACTGAAACGAGAAATTCCGTTTTCTTAACTATGAAAACGTTAATTTCCCCCCTTATTTTTTAATGCATAATAGTAAGATTATGATATGAGTTAGCTTTCAGGGGCCAGGGCTAAGTACTGGAGCTCAAAGTGAATTCGAAAACCTTATATTAAATGATAGTACACGTCTGCCCCCAAAGGATACGTGTACAAAAAAAGACCCGTGTCCAATTGTTAAAAAGTTACAAATGCACATTAAGAGCTTCAGTTAAGTATCTTAGGCAATGAAAGTCATTCTGTAGCCAAGTTCACCTGGTGTAGCTTCGAGAAATTTTTTTTGTCTCAAATTGTTTTGCACGTCTTGCATTTTGGATGCGCGAATGTGTTTGTCGAGATTTACACTTAATTTCCTTTTTTTTTAAAAAAAACTGTTCGCTTTAAAGAGTTACTAATCCATTTTCAGTTTTACAGTATCCTTTCCCAGTAGGTCTGATTCTTCGGAAGCATACAGTGACGATATTAAACTAATACCTGCACGGGGCTTTCCGGATCTTCACGACGTCGTCCGTTTTCTACAAACGGAAAATAAATACCGATGTAACAGGTTGAGATGTGGCAACCACATTACATAACACTCTAATACAGTGGAATTCATTGACTCAGTCCGTACAAACTCATTATCTGTGTGCTGTTTTAAACTTTAAACCCAGAAATCCCATATATTTCTGTTTGGGTTTGGGGTTTATTGCGGGCGTTAATTCCAAGCAACAGGCCGCTTCAAAACAGACAAATCGAGGTGGCTATTTGACGGACGCCGCCTTGTTTTCGCTGTGAATAACAACAGTTCGCTGTTTTATATTGTACGGATAAACTAGACGGTTTTCACCGGGATCTCAGGACGAGACTGCAGCCCTGAAACTCTGACGTCCTGAATTCTCACCGCAGCCGAGGCGATCAGGAGGTGCTACATTGGAGCTCAAATCCACGTTAATTAATTCTCATTAATTATACAAGCGAGGCGATTCATATTAGCACCCTTGTCCGCGAAACTGTCAGTTCGCACTTCTTGTCGGCAGCGAGCTTCGTACTTGCCACCTCTGGGACTGACTTCACAGGAGGAGCTGGTCAGGCTCCGGGGGTCAGGCGATGGTGGAGGGGGCAGTTTCACTCACAGTGGTCACCCCCGGACAAGTCGCGTGATTCCCGTTGTCTATAGGTGTCGAAGGCCTTGGTTGTCAACCAGAAAACGGGTAAAAACAACGAATCTTGATTTGAGAGACATGAAAGTACCAGAAGCGCCTGTTCAGTTAGCGTCTCCGGACTCTTACACAATCAGTGTCTGATAAAGCCCGTCGACACTGGGAAACTACCCGCTACCCCTCTCCCGACCTCACCTACACGTTTTAATTTGAAGTCATGAAGCATTTCTTTCAAAACTGAACAATAAAATCTTTTTCTAAATTCGTTCCAGCAAATGCCTGAACGCATTTTACGCAGCTAGCAAGGTGCTAAGTTTTGGGAATGATGAAAAATATCAGAAAGGATTGAGATTTTGGCTGTACCCCCGCCTCGATGTCTTCGGACACGGATGAGATTTAATTGAATAGCACACTATCGGTTTTGGCTACCACTGCGCTACGTTTACATGCAATGTCTGAAGTGACATTTATCCTCAAGTTTGTGGGCTGTCTTTGCAGTTCTTAAGGTGTTGCTACACTTCACATACTGTGCAAACATCTTGGAAAACGTACATTCACGTAAAACCAATGAGAACGCGTGTATGAAAAAAAAAACCCATCTCGTGTTGAATACAAATGCGAGCTAGACAAGATCATTGTTTCCCCACGTCAGAAGACAAAAAAAGGAAACTCGCTTAGGAAGCTTTTGCGCGCCACGTGTGCGACAAGACTTAGCTCAGCAGGCTGAATACTCCGGGAAATGACCCGAACCGAGCCGGTCCCGCACAAGTCCGGTAGTGTAGAAATCACAAGCGTTTCCCTTTGCAAAGACACGCTCTGCGAGTTGAGCCACGAGTTTATTACCTTTACAGTACAGTCCGGTAGGAAAATAGCTCTCGTGCATGTGAGGCAGCTCAGTGCAAGTTATAACAGTATTTACAACATAATTACAAGCTTTATATATATATACATGTTTTATATTACAAAATAGTTGTATTGTTCTTTTGAGCATTATTGTAGTCAAACCACGACATGGTCCCTTTGGGGTTTCACATCCCTTCTGAAAGAGAGGAGCCACATTCACAAAGCTTTTCCCCTGAGTTATTTAAGCGCAGAGCGTTAATTGGTACACGCAGCGTGACTTCTATTATTTTAACACGCTCTGCTTTTTGTCAGGCGTTGTACAATTTTTCTATGGCCTTTAAAACAGGAGCCTGGATTTTTTTTTGCTTAGGAACAAGTAAAGGTTTATTCCACGCTGAAAAGAGGAGAACAGGCTGAAGAAGGCTCCACGGCCGAAACGTTGCGTTTCTTTTCTTCTCTTTCCAGCGCGGAATAAACCTCCACTCGTTCCTTTGCAGCCCACGCACGCTGACGCGGCTGCCTCCTTGAACGCCTTTCTTATTACTGAGGCGTGAAGGTCTGGGTGCCGTGAAGAAGACGTCGGAGAAAAGAAAGTCGTTAAATAACTCCTGAGTGGACTCGGTGAATAGTGGCAGCGGCGCCTCTCCTGCGCGCGCGGGTGGGTTTGCTCGTGGGGAGATGGCTGATGCGCGCGAGCGCGGCGCCACGGGAGACAGATTACACGGAGGCTCACGGGAGACGGGACGCGTCCCTTCCCGACTGCATGGACCAGTCAATGTTAATGAGAGCCATCTCTCCAAACGCCCCGGGTGCGAAACCTCGTCTAAGCAGAGACCAGCGTTCAACGGAAACGGGAAGACTCGCTTATTCCAAACAGCTCCTGTCTGGCTCACACCGGCTTCCTAATACCACTCTTCTGTTAAGCATGCTGTACTGTATTACTTTACCGTGGTAACAAAAAAAAAAACGTCAATCCTTTTTTGATATCCCACAAAAAGTGACATTTTCCAGCCTTTAGAAGACTACAAACAAAATACTACACACGTTTATAATGCAGCGCTTCTTTAGGATTCGCGTTGCGATAAAAGGCGCACAGATCACCCTCACATTCCTCGGCAGGGCCCCCAAAGAAATATGTCTAGACCGAAAGCTGGCTTTTTTGGATCATCCTGGATATTAAGTCGACGTACTTTTTTTTATCAGTTTGAAATGCTTTTTGTATTTATACCGCTACGGACCCGATCGGTGTATTGAACAGATTTTCACATTCAACGCGGTATTTTGCTTGACTGTATACTTGCCAAATACAAATCCACGCCTTCGAGGGAAGACAAAACGAGGAGCATCAGAGTGAAGAATAAACGCGGCCTTAAATCATTTCGATTTCCATGTGTCTCATTAGCAGGAGAATTAGACGAGAGGGCAGCCCTGGAGGAGGTGGAGGTCAAGTACAACAGGGCTTTTATAAACATCTGGACAGGCGTGTGTCCACTGGTGTGTCCTCTGACAGCTGAGTGTGTGTCCACTGGTGTGTCCTCATAATCTGTCCATTGGTGTGTCCACTGGTGTTTCTTCATAATGTGTCCATTGATGTGTCCACTGAGTGTGTCCACTGAGTGTGTCCACTGGTGTTTCTTCATAATGTGTCCATTGGTGTGCCCACTGGAGTTTCTTCATAATGCATCCACTGGATGTGTCCTTAGGTGTGTCCACTGGGTGTGTCCAATGGCTGTGTCCACTGGGTGTGTCCACTGGGTGTGTCGTCTGGATGTGTCCCCTGGCTGCGTCCATTGGGTGTGTCCACTGGCTGTGTCCACTGGGTGGGTCTGTTGGGTGTGTCCACTGGGTGGGTCATCTGGATGGGTTCTTTCTCATGCCAGCTCCTTGCCTCCCTGGCTCCAGTACCACCCCCCCCCCTCAGCCAGTGAAACCCAGAGTCACAGAGTCCAGCTCCAAGGCAAACACAGGGAACACGCGGGGACAGAAGCCAGCCCCCTGTGCAGCTTCCCCGTTTCCAAGAAGTCAGCTTCCTTCTGCATCATCCGCGCCAGTCCCGGGACTCTGACACGGAACGATCTGATTGCACGTTACATGCCTGCCAGACATATTTCAGGTCGCCCTGCTGGATGCCCAACTGTATCAACCCGGTTCGGGCCTTTTTTTTAAAAAAAAAACACACATAGCAAAGCTGTTTAAAAACAAACACACACGTTCGTTAGTGAAATGCATCAACGGACTGCTTTTTCCAGCCTGCACTGACCCTCTCTGTTCCTGTCAGGCCCGCTGTGGCAGAACACGTCTCGGGTCTTAAGGTGCAAGGACAGATGGACAGATGGAAATGAAAGTCCTGTTCAGCGTTCATCCTGCTTCTCGTCTTTTAGTCCGCCCGGATCTCCTGCGCTATTCAGTTCCCCGATGATCCCGAGACCGGGGTAGGGCAGCGACCGTCAGATCTTGCTGTTCTCCAGGTGGGTGTCGATGTGCTTGATCAGGGCGTCGTCGGGATAGCCGATGGGGAAGGCCAGCTGGCACAGCGGGCAGCTCCGGATGTCGTTGTCCTCGGTCTCCATCCACAGCTGCGGCCAATCAAAACAACAGGACCGAAAAGTTAGCCAAGTGCCCGAAAGTGCAAAAACCTCGACTGAAAAGCTTCTCTAGTCTCACGCTGTTGCAGCTGAGCACTCTCGCACTGTGGAGGATGTGGTAAAAAAAAAAAAGACAAATACCGAATTATTGCTTGTTGGGGTTCATATGGCGCCACAGGCTAACACTGTTGGCCAGTAGCAGATGTACCGTAGGAGCAGGAATAGGCTGCAGGTAACTGGGCCAGTGTGCACACTGCCAGCTCCACTGGGATACAACTGCATCCCTCTACTGCAGGACTAGGATTCAGCAATAAGAACAACAGTCGTGATACCGTAAAGCACAGCGTCTGCCGCCAACAGGCCGCAACACTGCCATTCACACAGTCTTAGAGGGGAACTGTGGCGCTATTCTTATACTTCAGGGTGCATAAGGATCAGCACTGAAGAGTGCATTTCAAACCACAATAAAAGTCAAATGCACACAGTAACTTGTACAAAAACTCCAATTTACACGGCAAAATAGATGCAATTTTTCAGGTAGGAGCAGCGCCATATTCTGTGATTCAGAACGAGGCAACAAAACCTCCGGTGAGGTGATGCAGCCCCACTACACTGTAAACAAACAGGCTGGGGAATACAGCTCTTCGAATCCAATAGAAATATTGCTCTCGACTGAGACGGGTTTGTGACAAATACCAATTACTTGTTAACTCTACCTGCACATCAGGTTGGGACATTTTTTAAGGTGAACTGCCTGCTGCACGACCTGAACTTATCCGCTCGTCCATCACGGGACATTGGTCCTGTGATGTGATGACAGGGACTAGTGAGCAGGAAGGGCCGCTCCATGGCCCCAGTCTCATGAACTCTCGCTCTGGCCCGTGAGGAGACCAGGGGGTTTGTGACAACAGGGAGACCGGACTTTTCACAAAGCTCCCGATTTTGTGCTTCTTTTGGAATTGGTCGAATCCCTCTGTCCCGTCAGTGAATTCATCTGGTTTTCGCGAGATTCAGGCGAAAC